CTTTTTTGTTTCACATAATTTTGCGTTCCTTATAGCAAACACTTTTTGTGCACCCCTGACCCAACTTACAACGCAATAACCAAATCAAAGCCCTTTTTTCCTTCCTTGCTAGGGCTTTAAATTGTTTTTTCCTAATGAAGAAAACGCGCTCCAAATATACCGCACTGCAATGCTTGTCCTGATTGCACGGTCTGTACAGGTTACAAGGGTTCTTCGTGATTTCCTGGATTTTCAAGCGGGGATTCGTTCTCTTAAGATTCAATGGGAGACCTCGTGCCAGGCCTGGCCATTACCTTCTAAGCAGTAATATTAGCCGGTTTCATCAGTTTCTTGCTGCTATCGATTAATAATTATATCAGCAAAGTCCTACTCAAACAGATTTGTGGAAACAGCGCAGTGTAGGCGCAAAGTCTCGTTTCTAGACATATTCTTCAGAAGTCCTTTTATTTTAAGAAATACTTATGAAAAATTAAGTAAAGAAAATGAAAATTGTGCGAATTTCCCACAGCCATTCTAACTTTATTAGCTTTATTTGTTTAGGAGAAAGTTGAAATCCAAGTTCTGCAAGCAATTGATAAACGTTTCCAAGAAGTACTGAGTGGACAAGTCCTTCAAAGCCTCTTCAGAAAGTGAGGTAAGGTTGACGCCATCAATCTTGACATCAGGAAAAAGTCGATTTACTTCAACACCTACAAAAATGGGCTTTTATAGTTTCTGTGTTATGTTTAGGGAGAGGCTGTGAAAACACACAAAAGTATGCTAAACATATAGCAGGTTTACCATTATTTGCAGTTTCTGCATCTGAATCGAGATTCGCGTGTGCACTAGGGCCTATACCTGCAGCAGTTGCAGATCCAATCACTTGCGAGAGAATATTTTCCCAAGTGAGTTTCTGCAAAAATTGGTGTTTTTTACCGTGGTTTATTGCCTGTCTGCACTACTTATAGAACAGGCATATTTGTTGCGTAAATATGGACTAAGTACGGGAGTGCATATACCTTTCATATATGAAATAAGAGAGTTTTTAAGAGGCATTTAGTACTTAATAAACTGATAACATTAACTACTAGTAAGGGGCTGCCAATTTTGGACTAGCAGATATGGAAGTTTATAAGCTTAGACAATATTAAATAGTCTAGGCACTGGTACATACTCAATTTGCTATGTTATATAGTATGACTGTTCAGTTCCATAAGTATAACTCATGTAATCGTTACATTACTACAAACAAAATGGCCCATTGACAATATTTGACACAGGGTCACTACGCGCTAGACACTTTATTTTGAATAACACATACTCATGGTATAATCACAATCCATATTACACTTACTTAGTACTCCATATTGTCATTATTTCCTTCATAATGTTTCGCTTTATACTTAACTTCCTTGGGAACTACTGATGAAAGGGTTGCATACCCGGGGCACCAAGGAAGTCACATTTCTCTAGTTCTTAGTCCCGAAACCGGTTATAATACTTTCTAAAATTGATTCTTACTGTAATTACATCTTTGTAAATTTCTCCATTCAGACTGTCTGTATTATGACCTGTTTATAGCTGTCTAGGCTGAATAATATCAGCGAACCAAGTACTTAAAATATCTATACACTGCGTTTTTAATTTTTTAGCTCCTTAATTCCATCAATTTTGAATTTTTTGGATATTTTTCGATATTCC